GAAAAGTTTTTCCGTTAAAAATATTTGCACAAGAGAGAATCTATACTGGCATGTGCCTTTGCACATCCGTGCCGGTGTAGACGCTCTCTTGTGCAAGAAAGCTCCGATGGCTATTTTAGCCATCAGGCTTTCTTGCGCAAGAAATTTACGTTTTTGTCTACACTGACCCTCTTGTTCAAGGGGGCTTATCCCTGAGCAGGAGTGTCAGAGTATTTGTGCAAGAACCACTGATTTTGTACATTACAAAGTCAGTGTTCTTGTGCAAATACTCGTGGCCAGTGTAGACAGGCGGCAAGATTTTGCGCAAAAGCAAGCACTTTTGCACAAAATCATGCCAGTCTAGACACAGCCCTATAGTAATAAGTACAGTTATGTGATAAAATAAAGTTGCCTAAGCATTCCTTTCTATTCCCTATTTTCAGTAACTCGTAAATGTCTAATATTTTCAGCTTTCCAGATGAAAATTTCCAGGCTTGGTTGCTATCCAAATGTGATTTTTTTAAGTTGAAAAAAAATGGGCCATGTGTTTTTAATAAAAAAGAATAGTTTTTAAAACCAAGCTTTCACACAAACTTCCATGTTGGCTGGACTTTACAAATACAAGACAAGACATTTACAATGTAATTTTTACTTCTCTACAGAGGGAAAAAGGAAAATAAACTATCTAAACTCCTATAGGTGACAGGGGGCAAAAATTATTGTACCCTCACCTCACTCAACAACACTGTTAATCTATCCAGCCACACACTTGGCCCGGTAGATGAGTCTGCCCTATCTCGTGCACTCTTTCTGCCAGACCACCCCCACATACGATACAGTTCTACAATGACCTGAAAATTCAACACTATCAGTTTAGTTTGAATAAAGAGCTCAACTGGTTAACACACAACAAAGGCAATTTTCCTTCTCTGGATAGTCACATCTCCACATTAAATGCTGTGAACAACTCACTTCCATCCTGACTTGATTAGCCTTATTAACACAAGCAACTTCTTCCTTATATATACTCATGCCACAGTTATTTCCACTCCAATTCATCTAGGCTGTGTCCAGACTCAGGGTTTTTTTCGGGAAAAGTAGCCTTTTTCCGAAAAAACTTCCCCTGCGTCCAGACTCAAGCCGCGTTCTTTCGAAATTATTTTGAAAGAACGCGGCTTTTCTTTCGATGGCGGTAAACCTCATTTCACGAGGAAGAACGCCTTCTTTCGAAAGTTCCTCTTTCGAAAGAAGGCGTTCTTCAATGTAAATAGGGCTTCTTCGAAAGAGAGCATCCAGACTCACTGGATGCTTTCTTTCGAAAAAGCAAGCCGCTTTTTCGAAAGTTCAACGTGCAGTCTAGACACTCTCTTTCAAAAGAGGCCCTTTCGAAAGTATCTTTCGAAAGAGCCTCTTTCGAAAGAGGCTTGCAGTCTAGACATAGCCCTGATGAATTGGGTTTTACCCATGAAATCTTATGCCCTAATCAATCTGTTAGGGTATGTCTAGACTACAAGCTTCTTTTGAAAGAGGCTTTTTCAAAAGATTATTTCAAAAAAGCCTCTTTCGAAAGAGAGTCTGGATGCTCTCTTTCAAAAATGAGGTTTTCCACGATCGAAAAAACTGCCACGTTCTTTCAAAAGTCTGGACACGGGAAGTTTTTTTGAAAAAAGGCTACCTTTAAAAAAAAACACCCTTAGTCTCTAGGGTTCTACAGTACTTATTGTTTTTGCAGAGTAGTCTAGACACACCCTTAGTCTCTAGGGTTCTACACTACTTATTGTTTTTGCAGATACAGACTAACAGAGCTACCCCTCTGAGTAATTGATGAGTAGTTGATAATGGAGATTCCATAGTTATGTTATATCATTAACTTATTTTAAATCAATATGCTTTGACATACATTGGCTAAGCTTCTTTGGTCATTTTAGTGATCCCATGGATTTTCAAATGTAGAGACTAGAAAAATCAATGGTTCTTGAAGTTAAAGGAAGATCCATTTTGCTTCAAAATACAAAACACATGCAAGCTGATATATCCTGGATATATATGAGAATGGAATATTTGAAGAGTTGATTGATTGCTATCCTCTTCTAAAAGGTCTTAATTTAATATGATTATGCTACAGGGTGATTTTAAGATGAAAACGTAATATTTGAAGAACAAACTTTTGTCTCTTTGTTCCAATGAGGAACTCTCTCAGATTGATTTCAAGTAATAATTCTGAAAACTAGAGCCGTGATGGCTAGCTAAAAAGGAATTATGGGTAATGGAGTAAAAGTTTCTGACTGAATGGAAGCTTGAGAAACCTGTTTACCTATCAATCTGTGTTACGCATCTGGAAATCAGCTTGGGCCAGAAGTCCTTTGAAATAATACTATTCAAGATCAGCAATTACAGTTCCGTATTTAATCTCCACTTTCTACAAAATGGTTAAGGAAAAAGATAGGAAACACAAATCTTTTCACTTAAAAGTAAATGTCTTCCAAGTAGTACACCATTGTAAAATAATGGCTGATTAATGGCAGTTAATTGCATTTTTAACATAAACTAAGCATCGATGAATCAACTACTGTATCTATTGTCTACAAAAATTATGCATGATGAAGTAAGTTTACTTACTGATGCCTATGAATCCAAAGATGGAGAAAGAATGGAAGTCATGAGACATAAGACAGATTTAAAACAAAAAAAGTTTAGTTCCACTTAATTTTCCACAAAAGCCCAATTAAGAAAACAAGACATAAGGCAACACTATAGAAAGAAAATGTTTGACACAGAACAATTATGGAAAGATATGAAAAATAAAGATAAGGTTTTCAATCTTCTTAAATGCCCATTATTTGATATTTAAGAAAACTGTTGGAGATTTGAGAAATAATTGAGAAGAAAAAAAAATAAAATTGTGCACAAGATTATAATATAATATAGCAATTTAAATATAGTATTGCAATTCACCTGCAAATTGAAGGTGAGTGTACAATATTCTACTACATTTTTCCTTAATATTGATTGTCTGAGGTAGATTTTTGTCTTGAGACCAAATATTGTATTCAGTTACACTTCAGAGATTTTTTATAAACTTTTATTTAAATTATTAAAAAACATTCTCTCTGAAATTATTATGTATATTGACTTATATAATTTTTTCTATATCCTTGTCTTCTACTAGAGATTCCTTGATCAATATCTCAATATCGTGGAAATATTTGCCTGTCATTTTCCCACTAAGTTATTTATATATATTCCGTAGATGGTGTCCCTTAAAAAAAAATCTGTGTTTGCTAATTTTATACTTTTAGTTGAAGTGCTGGTACAAATCTGAGTAAGTGTGTCTCTAAATCTGAAGTGAAAGTATTCAGATTTACATCTGCAACTAATTTTGCCTATGCAAAACTTAGTAGGTGCAAATTTCATCCACAAACATTAAGCCTAACTAAGAGCACATCAATTAGTCTGGAGAATGCAGAGTCATAAAACTTCCAATGCCCATTTATAACCAGTCCAATCCAACTTCTAGGTAAGTGAATAGCAGCCTTCCTTTTACTATCATGGGAATTGGGTTAGATTTTAAGGAACCAGGGTCTTGATCCAGCAAAGTACTTCAGCATGGCTGTAATTATAAAGACGTAAGTAGTCCCACCTAGATCATGGCCTACAATTTACATATCATAACCTTTTAAGTGTTACATGTGTTGTATTTCTGTGAAACATATTTCTTTCTTCCAGCTACGCAAAGCATAACAATTCATGTGAATAAAATGCCAAGGGGGAAAAATGAATGGTTAATTTTGGAAGAAAAGCTGTTCCTGCTTCAATGAGTAATGTAAACATTCTCTATTCACAAAGAGAAATTCAGCACAAAACATTTGGAAATCAGACAGTCTTTAAATAATCAAAATATGAAACTTACTGTAGCAATTATACTCTTTGTCCCGCTATAGTAACATTTTTAATAACTCAAATATATATATCAACTCTCTTATTAAGGAAATAAATATTATTTCAAAATAGAACAAAAATCATCCAGCACTCAATGATACCAGCACACTCCACTCCCAAATACTTTATGAAGTCTATTCTCTTTAGTGTTGTCATCTGAATTTTATTCTTCTAAAATAATACAAAAGTAATATTTATTTGCTGACATTAGCAAAAATATATGTAAATATTTCCCTATACTTCACTATTATGATCTGTTCATACTCTGTTAATTTCTGCTTGGGGTCCCTTCACTACAATTAAGTTCCATCAGTGCATGCATACAAGTCACTCTTTCTTAATAATTTAATGTCTTAGTGGAACAATTGGTCACATCATACAGTTAGAAAAGATGACCCAGGACACATTTCAGCAGATAGTAGTAAAAAGATGCTTTCCTTTAACTATTCTTTTTTACAATCAATTTAATTGTTCTCTTGTGATTTCAACATTTAAATTACATCAGATTTACAAAGAAAAAACTTTAACCAGTGGAATATTTTATATTGAGAAATTATTATCAAATGGGTTTTTGATTTTTATTCAGTCGCAGCTTGGAAAAAATAACATTTTGGGCCAAGTTCTCAAGTATGCTAGCGCAGTATTCGCTACATCTAAGAAGTAATGGGTTTTTGCCACTTGTCAAGCCCCCTAACCTTGATGCAAACTAGAGCTGTTGCCAAACTGTTTTAATTTGCCTTAGCAGTAATGGCCATTGTGCTGATGTGCTGGCCCAGAAACATTGAAGAGCAGCTATGCCTAATAAGCAGCTTTACACTTTATATTTAGACAGCATTACTTCCTTTGGAAATTCCAATATCAGAAGAAATCCAAGCTGACTGTTTAAACCCATATCCTGTCCCCTTTGGGATCACTGTAATATTCTTATTTATTTGCATGATTTTTAAGATGCTCAAGTCATTTGTAGAATATACCCTTCTCAAGAAAAGACTATTCAATTACACTATAACTGACATTTCAGACATGTGACTTATGCCTTTGTTCACCTACAATTTTAGTTATGAATCACAATGAATACTTACATAGTGCTATCACCTAGTTCTTCATAGAGATTATTGGCAGCACTACTTGATGGTTTGCCGGCTGGTAAGGCCATCTGGATTCTTGCTGTCTTTGCACATTCAGCTTGCCGCCTTTGGTAAGTTGTGCAGGAAGGAAAAAATGAGTGTTAGAAATATTCTATAGCTTACATGAGCTGACATATCTGTAATCATATAAAAGTTCATGAAACATTCCTGGTTTTGTATTCAAAGAAAGGAAATCATCTGAGCAATTAGTTTCAGCTCTGTAGCACTCTGTCACTTCTCTTTCATTATGGTATTCCAGAGGTCCAACCTGTATCTAAATCCACTTTTATATACTTGCTAAACCACCTGATCACGATGAAATAATAGTAGATCAATTAGCATTAAACTGAGGAAGAGGCCAATCATGCTTTAACAATATCAGGTAAACTGGCTTTTATTTATGTTTATTAATATCACATTTGTAAAGACTTCTTCAAAGTTTAATTTTATGACTTTTAGCACTTTTATCAGCATAAGATATGGTTAACAATTTTCCACTTGACTGATTTTACAAATGCCCTTTCTGTAAAATCAAAATTTTCTGCATGAAAATTTCAGTTTTGTTGAAAAAATTTGAAAGTTTACTTTGAAAATTGAAATGATGACCACCTGGAAAGCTCTTTTTAGTTTCACCTTCTGTCTGTAAGCAGAAATGAAAGTAACAAGAGCCTTTCAGGTGGCTGCAGGGACTAAGCATCCTGTCTCAGGGTTAGAAGTGAGGCAAGGAGGCTGAGCTCCAGAAGGCAGAGAACCAAAGCAGAAAATGAAATTGACAAAAGCCTTCTAAGTGAGCAGCTGACATGCCTCAAAATTACATCTGGATATTCTGAAACCATTTTTCTGGAAATCTCTTTCTGTAAAGATATTTGCACTTTTATTACAGAAAGGGACTTTTTTTTCCAACTTTAGTCAACATTTAGACCATAAGTTCAAGCCCTCTAGTTCATTTGTAAGAGTCAGAAAGAGCAAGTAGTTACCATATAACTGGTAATAGGACTGAGAGAAATTTAATTAAGAATAGAGTACAACAGACTTTACTGTGATTTTCAAAATAAATCATTATTATTATTCACATTTATATTGTAGTAGTGCCTACAGCTAAGATGTCATGTACTGAAGTTCTAAAAATAGGGAAGTAAAACCAGTTCATTAAAAATTTGTATTGTATTTTATATAACAATAATATATATATATATATTCAGCACTGTTACATTTAAAAAGTTTTCTCATATTTGGTTGAAATATTTGGATGGCAACTAAGCAATGTTTCAATTATAGAAGAAAATCAAGTTTACTCCAGTACACATTGATGTTTGTGGTGTGTATGTTTAGGTTAATACAAATTACTTTTAAAATCAAAGTGTTATGTATTTAGTATTTATGTGTCATATATAGGGTATTTAGGGTTAACCCCATAATTAGCTAGGCAGAGGCTGTGAAAAAGTTCAGAGAACATTCAATTCAGAGTTTTTATAAAGCATTCCAACAACAGGGAAAGATGGATAGCCTGTGAGCTGGCAAGAGATAAGCCCCTCTGGCATTGTAATTCACAGAATCAAAGGGAAAAGGACCTTTTATATGAACAGAAGCAGGAACCATCTTACTGGCTTCCCCTTCCTGGTAATTTAACTCCTGGAGTAGAAGGGACAGATGTGCAATCGTACTGTGGCTTCTTAGAAGCAGCTATGGAACTGATTCTTGCCAGAATTAACCTCCACTAGAGTCATGAATTAATTAGAGATGTTGTCATGCTCCATCTCTGCCTCCATTCCCACACAACCCCAATAGAAAATTTTTCACAGAAAAAAAGAGATTTTATTGTAAAAGCATTATTTCACCTTCAATATGGGTCTAAGATCCCCTCCCTATGCTTTAGTGAAGCAGACACACTAGAGCATACCACTAGTATTTTGGCTATGATTTTGGCCTGCACCTCATCACTCATAAGAGAGCATCCCATAATCTACTTATTTGCTTGTCTTACTTTAGCACATACCTGAATGTTTTATTAAATGATCATAAACATATCAAGTTCCTTTTTAAGTCCATCCACAGAAAGGTCTTAGGTAGCACTGCATTCTACAATTTGACTATATAATATATTTCCTTTCACTGTCAATCAATTTACTTCTCTTAAATTTCAAGTGGTCTTTGTACTTGTATAATAAAAAGTATATATTGATCGGCTATCATTCTTAAACAAGGGGTAAGAAGCAAATCTAAAATAAATACTTACTCTTTAAATCTATTTTGTAATGCAAAAGGGAGAGAGAGATAAAAAGGTAGGTTAGAAGCATTCCATTTACAACAATAATTGAAACAGTGAACTTTATATTAGTAACAAACTAAGAGTGACAATCATTTTACTTATTAAATTGCAGAATTAATGACATATTTAGAAGCTACTATGTTTCAGTAAGTGAAAAGCATTTAGTTCCTTTTGCGATTGTAAGATTGTTATAAAACTATCATCCATAAACACTAATTACAGGAGAACAAAACTGTTAGGGGCTAAACAGAATCTGAAAAATCCCCATTGATTAAAGATGTGGATATTGAAGTCTGAATTAGGGTTTGTAAGAGTGGAATAATAAAACTGAAGTAACTGCCTCCTCATTTTAACATGGAGAAAATTAAAGAAACACTCCTTCATAATAAAGCAGAACTTTGGCTTCTATTTGGAATATGACACTCTTGTTATGATTAATTCATAGTATATTTTTCATAATTAGCTTTTTTGTTTGTCCTAGATAATGAATTTCAAAGGCATCACTTTGTTGGAGGTAAAATTTTAAGGTCAGTACAGTGTTTGGACTTTTCTCATCAAAATATCTCATGTGGTGCACCAAGAGACTGCACTCAGCACTGAACTCTTTGCTCTCAACACTGAACTATGTGCACTCAGTACCAAACCCTTTGCACTCAGCATGAACTTTGCACCCGGCACCAAACAGCTATGCACATTGCACCAACCTCCAGTTTCCTGCCAAAAGGACTTTATAAGCAGGATCCCATACAAAGGCTCGAGTTCTCTCCAGTTCGCTCTGGTTGGCTCACTCGCTTTCTATCTGCTTCATGTGGTGATCTTCAAGTCTCTGTGGTGCCCTCACAGTGCATGTCATAGTGAAGGCTTGTCAGTGCATATCTGGGTAGCTCCAATTAAAGCTTGTGGATTTCATCACATCTGTAACATCTGGATCCAATCCATTTCCTACTGTGGTGAAGACTCAGACGGAATAGTGAAGGAAGACCATCACGTATGAACATTGCTGAGTCTTTGTAGAGAAGGCCCAAGACTACTGGCAACCTGTGTCCTGTCCAGAGCAATCTCTCTCCTGCTACTGAGAACATCTCTCCATTGGACGCCATAGCTGTCCTCCCTGAGAACTCTTAAGAGTTCAAAGGTAGAAGGTCCTAGACCTCGCCTCTATCCAGCCGGACCACCATCAATAGTAATACTTACCTTTTCTCCCATTTGTATTAGGAATCTTTGCTATCTTCTTGTTTTCTAAGGTTCTGGTAGAATATCAAAAGCCAGATGTTTGGGGTTTGTTATTGCAATTTTATTATGCTACTTGTTGTACTTCTAAATTTATAATACATTTGAATATGATTAAGTTATCCAGACTTTGTCATATTTAGCCATTTTACCAGTGATTAGATACGGGAGTGCCAGTCATATCTCACTTCTGGGGCACGGGCATTTATTACCTATTCAGAAGCCTAAATCAGCTAAATTTCCCATAAATTATTATTGTTACTACACCCTTGGTAACATCTTAATGGAAAAGAATAATGATAATTTATTGGATTATTTATAAGCAACACATGCAGTCGCTGATCTGTGCTTTAACAGATAATTTCACATTAAAAAGTAAGCAATGTAGAACTTCAGTTTAGCCCTTATTACTTTAATAATGTAAACATTAATTCTTTGGGATGTTAGCTGATCATGGAACTAAAAATATTGAAAAATGTGCCTACTACATGAATTTTAATATCATACAAGTCTTCATGTTTTCATTATATGTGCACTGGATGTGACAGTTACATTTATTCAGCTATAATCTTTGCACTAAGCAGTAAACTTGAGCATAATTTGCCAGAATTGTTATTGGAAGATTATATTAAAGAGGTTTTGGAAAAAAGAAGCTAAGAAGTAAGACAAAAATTAACCTGTTTTTTAAAAAAATTCAATATAGCATAAGGTTTATATTAAGATGAAAATCATTTACACTCTCTAAATGAATTTTATTGATTTATTTTTGTTATACTAATAAGAATTTATTTGTGGTAGTTTGATATAAAGTCAAGCGCTATATGATACTCGTAGACAACAGAATCATGATTTTAAAATGGATGGAAACTAAACAGATTCCTTAAAATTGCCTGATGTATTTGGGAACTAATTCTGTTCCTATACATATCAAAAGGAATTTGACATTTGCTTTTCCTTCCTTGAAAAAAATCACATAGAAGTCACATTACAAAATAATTAGAGTTTGAATCTCTGTTCAATAAAAATAGACTGCGTGAAAACTTTAAACACGGTATGATTCAAGAAACATAGGAGGCTTAATCCAACACTGGAATGTATTTTCTGGGATGCAGGGCTCCCAATGGTATATTTTGCTGGAAGGGCAATAGTTAAACAGTGCTTGAGGAGAAGGATGTGGTGTGGAGAAGAAACCAGAAGGATATGTTAATTCAGTACTCTTCCCTATTCAATCCTGACATGCTCTGGTCTAAGGGGGTATCCTTCCCAGGTACAGACCTTGGCTACTGGATTACATCCATGGCCTTTCACACACTTTTTGGAGAATTTATTCTCTAAAAAAATCTGGGAGCATTTAGATTTCTCAAACAAATATTAACCATTTAAAAATAGCTATAAAATGCAGCTATTCCTCTTATGTGACTATTAAGCATGCCTTCAGGCATACTAGTATTCTTTCATGCAGTGATGTCTCCTTAAAAGATTAAGTAAATTTGATTTATAGCACAAATGACCAGAATACTAATCATCCTTATCTCTAGGAAATATTCTAACTTAGCTATTAAAAATGCCAAATTACAAGGACTAGTTTTAAAGAGAATTTTTACTCATCTTACACTTGTAAAACATAAGATTGCTTTTGATTTTATTGTCTGGAGCTTAAAGTGGTATCCATATATAATGGATACAGACAGATATACAGCCAAACTTAGCCCTATCATTAGTACAACTAATTTTATTTCACTGTAGTTGCAGTTGATTATGACAAGGCGTTAACAAACAGTACTGTGTCCAATCCTGGTTACCAGTGTGGGAAGGTACAGAACAGCTGGTAGGCCTGTCAGCTGGAAAATTACACCATATTGTAGACCTACAATAATATTCAGATTCCAGTGATTTAACACAGCACACATGCATTTATTTCTTTATATTCTTTCATCCAGTGATGCCCTGCCTCATTTGCAACCTACAAAGTAACTGGTACTTAATTCTCCCTCTCTCCTAATATAGCAAACATGGATCTGATGGGGCCATCCTCTGGAAGGACTCCAGAACTCTGGGAAGCCCTCCCACTCCTGGTTCTAAGTAGCAAAGATTTGCTGAGTAAGGAGACATGCTGCAGAGGTCATTTGCTTCACCTGGTCCTTGAAGAGAGGGGAAAGGGTTACTGTACAGGGTGATCTATGGGCGTGGGTTTATTTGATTATGAACTATTGTTTGTCAGAAGGTGTGAATTGACAATGCCATTTTGTTTTTGGAATTTTAAATAATTGGAAGGGTGTATAGACACTTTTAAAATTTTTATTGCAAAGAAAAAGGAGATTTTATATAAGGTCTCAATTTTCAAATGAGCATATGCATTAATAAGAAAACTTTAAACTTGTTGGTTCAGATGAGCACCCAAAAGTTGGGCTGTTTATCCATGTTAGTAAACCTATTTAAAATTCTTAAGTCTGCTAAATGTAACAAGAAATCTAAAGCAAATAGATTATCATGAGATTTGTGCCCATTAAAAAAGAGCTAGAATGCAGCAAGAACAACCTCTCCACAATAAGTTTTTATGCTTGAACTTCACTCACAGCTGGAACCAAATAGTTTACAGGTCTGAAAATTCAAAAATAAATATTGCCTCGTATTTTAGAGCCTCAGTAAAGTTTTGGTTCATCTCATTTTCCCTGCAATATGAAAATTGAATCTTGATTCATATACTGAACAACTAATGGTTGCGGTATATAAGGACCCAGGCTTCTGGATGAAGCATGATCCATGTTCACATGTTAGATAATTGGATTCAGAGATTTGGTTTCACTTCATCCGTAATCTGAAATAATTACTTCATCTTGTACATAATAATTATACAAATACGTGTATACATAAAGGCATAAAGAGGAAGAGGACATAAAAATAACCACACTGTAGTTTACCTACACAGGATAGCTTTCAAAGCAGACCAGTGCTCCTGGCTTCCAATTATAGTTTCCCTTGTATTAAATGTATAGGTTATTACAAAGATTATCGACAAAGAAATTTGGAGTACTTACTGTTTGTAGCTGACCATCACTATTAAAATAGCAGGCATGCAGCAAAGGATGATTATGACGGCCAGAGCAAGCAATGCCCCTTCTGTGTAGCCTACAGCTTGTGCCTGCTTCTTAACATTGGCCACCACATCTGGGGTACGGATTTCCAGAATACGCCCTCCTTGCCCAAGGTATGGCTGAAATTCTTTATTGATATCCAGCAATTTTCCATCCAAGAACCTTCAATATTATGAAACAAAATGATTACAGCAGACCTAGCCAATTCTGTACTTTTTACTAGCCGACTGAGTTCATAACCATATGTTCTGTATGTACTGCGTTAGAATAGAATCCAATCTTTATGTACTTATGGATCTTACTATTCTTTTATAATCCCTTTTCAGTATTATCATTGATGTATTTAATATTAATCTCCCTTAGAGACTGATATCATGATGTGCTGAGATTGCCTGTGTGTCTCCATGACCCTAAGAACTACATCAATGAAAGTTAGGATTAAACAAGACAGAGTGAAGGACAGAGACCAGTCAAAATCAGTCTTTTGGTCCTCCAGGTTGGTTGTTGGGCATGAACTTGACAACTTAATACCATACACTGCTTTTGTTATGAAAACAGTTGAACAAATAAAATGCCAAATACAATCCTTGGATCAGTGGATAGCCCTCAAATGGATAACATGATGGATATCAGTCCAAAATAGCTACTGAAGGACATTATTGCCTTGAGGAAATCAGTGCTCCCAGTTCGTTCCAAACTTTGAGTTTGGCTTTGGAATGTGAGGACTTTGTTAAAATCATCAAAGAATGGAAAATTGTAACATATATAACATATAATCCTTAGTATTAATGAACACAGGTGGCCAGACGCAGATACAAACAAAATGAAAAACAAAACAACTATTATTTTAATCAGTAAACCGAAATGGAGGAAGAAAAGGAGTTGCCTTGATTTTGAATGGTGATGCACAAAAAAAACCCACTTTAGATTGGTAATCCGTTAAAATTATACAGGCAAGACTTCAAACACTCTGTCATTCAATATTATACCCCAATGCATGGATACAACAAGGACAATTAGGGTACATTGTGCAGGACTTCACTAGCAAAGTGCAGCTACATCATATTCTCATTGCTTTGGGCAATATGAATGTTATGGCTGGGACAGACAAACTTGGCACAATGGGCACACATGGAACTGGTTTACATAAAAATGGTGGCAAGAATGTTCTTGAATCATGTCAACTGAAATCACTTCATTACATGGACAAACTTTCCTCATTATAGAACAACATAGATCTCACCTGACAGCATTAGAAAAAATAAAATAGATAATTTTTGTACACACAAAGTTCTAATAACCACATCAAGATGTGTGCATATGCAATGGAGTATATGTAGGTAGTGATCATCAATTGCCATGATGAAATGAAATTGAGGAAGTTACAAGGAAAGATGATTCCAAGGAAGATGAACATCATTAAGCTTGGGGTGAACAAATAAAGAATTATTTTGAATTTCAGCTTTCAAACAATATGATAGAAACAGTGTTACATGATAAAGATATGGCACAGGAAGCCATTAGCAAATAGTATATCAATACAGCAGAGAACATTGTTGGATCTAGTAAACTGAAGAAAGAAAACATGCTAAATAAAATCTACTTAATGCCTTTAGGCCAAAGCAAGGTAATCAATGAAAAGAAGAATACAGAGATAATGAAGTGAAAAGATCACCCAGAAAAAGCATATATTATAAGAACAAAGAGCCATAAGGTCCATCTTGAACAGTATCCTGTCCTCTGGTGCCCCAGAGGGAATGAACAGAACAGGTAATCATCAAATGATCCCTCGCTTGTTGCCCATTCCCAGCTTCTGACAAACAGAACTACCCATTCTGGCTAATAGACATTTATAGACCTATCCTCCATGAATTTATCTAATTCTTTTTGAACCCTTTTAAAGTTCTGGTCTTCACAACACCTCTGGCAAGGAGATCCACAGGTTGACTGTGAATTGTGTGAAGAAATTTTTGTTTGTTTGTTTCAAACTTGCTACCTATTAATTTCATTTGGTGACCCCCCAGTTCTTGTGTTATGGGAACAAGTAAATAACATTTATTTTCTCCACACCAGTCATTATTTTATAGACCTCTCTCATATTCCCTGTTTATCTTTTCTAAGCTGAAAAGTCCCAGTCCTTTTAATCTCTCCTCATATGGTAGCAGTGCTGTACCCCTAAACATTTTATTTCCCTTTTCTAAACCTTTTCCAATTCCAGTATACCTTTTTGGAGATGAAGACAAACAATATCTGTATGCAGTATTCAATATGTGGGTATACCATGGATTTATTTGGAGGCAATAAGATATTCTCTGTCTCATTCTCTGTCCCTTTTTATTATTCTTAACATTGTTTGCTTTTTTAACTGATGCTGCACATTGAGTGGATGTTTTCAGTTGGTGTATCTCAATGGATAGGCACTGGAAACAGAAATGGTTGCAATGAAGGAACACATGAGAACACTTTATCAAACTACCAGATAACTTGCTAGAGTCTTAGCCACAGCAGGGAATGTCCAATGAAAGATACACAAGAGAAAGCCTTACACCAACAAATGAAAAGAGGGATAGAACACTTCCATTCCATCTTTAACAGACTCTCACCAGAAATAACATTTAACTTTGAGACTATATGACTACAAGATGCAGGATTTGTTGTGTCTAAGCTATTCAAGATAGGTTGCCATCCAGCCTCTTTTTGAAAATCTCCAGCAAAGTAGCTTCAGGGAGTAGCCTTTCTGCCTTACCAATCTATCCACTGACTTTGACCTTTATCTACTCAGGTTTAGCACCCTTTCTCCTGATACTTTATGTATAGAGGTAGGGGGGTGGGTGACAGAATATCTTTCTCCCCCTCACCCCCCGCCCGCCTTTCCCTTCTATTTATTTCGAGTTTTCTTATCCCCTGGTCATAACTCTGGTCATCTGAAGAAGTGGGCTGTCCCCATGAATGTTCATGATACCATCTCCATGTTTTGTTAGTCTATAAAGTGCTACCAGATCTTTGCTTGCTGTTTTTTTCCAGCAAAGGAGCTTCCACAATCTACCCGAGCAGTTTGTTTCATTGTCCTACTGCTCTTAGAGTTAGGACTTTTTATCCATCTTTTATAGGGAAGATGACAGAATTTGATGCCTGCTGTAAGCATATTACTCTGGATGAACTTAAAGTATCCATAGAAATATTAAACAACAATACATCACCAGCTGACTGTCAAATCACAGCAGAAGTCTACCCAACCACCCCTCTCTCTCTGCTTCAGAGCCCAAGCTAGGAGGCTCACCCCGAAATTACCTTACTTCCCTCATATTAAAGGGAATGGGATTGCATGAAGAATATGCAATTTTTGCTCTCATTTATCTGCTCTGCCTAAGAAGGTTGATCATTTAGCCTCTAATTATTTGCTATTTATCCAAAACATAACATTTATTGAGACAGATTTTTTTCTTGTGCCAATATCTGCTTGATGCTAGAAGTTGGCAGTGGGAGGTGGGAATCAGCAAGCCATAATTATCAAGCCACACCTGCTCAAGTGAATGTGTACATTAGAGAAGGCTAGGGAAATGCTCTGTATGCTCAGGTGAGGGATGCCTAATGGAAGTGCCTGTTCAAAATTGTTGATAGAATCTGCTCTGTCAAGGGAATGCTTAGCTGAGCATCTGTGTCCAGATTCCGGAGTGGCATGCAAAAGATCTGGAAAATAATGTCCAGAATCTGTCAAGGGAATGCTTAGCTGAGCAAAAGATCTGGAAAATAATGTCCACAAAGTATACTACTTTAATAAAGTGTATAATACTTTAACTACATTAAGTAGAGCACTATAATACATTTTTAAATTTAGTTTGTAACTTAGGAAAGCTGCCAATCTAGCATCAGTGTAAACTGAGTAATCTATTCATTCAGAGAATGTACAGTATAAAAATCAGTGTAAAATTGATAGCAAGCCACCATAAATTTTCAGCCCTATTGAGGAAGATGAAATACCACTACTGTAGTATCATGCATGCAGTGCAGTCATAGCCCTATTGCAAATTAGAGAGACAACATGGATGAGATAATATCTTTTACTTCATGGATTTCTGCTGGTGAGAGAGACAAGCCTTAAAAGAAGAGTTGTATGTGGTACAAAAGCTTGTCTCTTTCAGCTGAGATTTTCACCATGCAAGCAATTGAGACAACCATGTCACTATACACTGACTAAACCCTACTAGTCATTTTACATATGGCATCAAAACAGCCATTAGATGACAATATAATATGACCACAACCAATACAAATAACATTATTAATTCTGGACTGCTGGCTTCTGACTATAAGTAGAAAACTGTAAGAACACAGAAATGACAATTGACTAAGTAGTTTGCCAGGATAAATTTAGCCACTAATGGAAATTAGAGTTAATCATCAGGGACCACCTTTTACTGTCAACAGTCAAAATCCAGAGTAACTCCGTATGTATAATAGTGTAAGAGAGTATACTTTTAGACAAAGTCTGCAAACTGGTGTATTTGATATGCTGAAAAAAGGAAGCAGAGGCAATATTGCTAAGGTTAGGGGCCAGATTATAGTTTTGTAACCTGATTTGAGTAAGGGGCAGCATATGGTTTTGCTGCTCCAGAAGTGCACCAGGGGAAAAAGTGTGATTAATAGTCACAATTAATTCCCTTATTCTCCATTGAGAAATAGGGCTGTTCAGAAATTGTTTTTCAATGAAAAATTAAGGCTTTGATTAAGCCACAAATTAAAAATGTCACAGTATATCTCTGTTTTCAACAGAAAAATCCATTTTCAAATTAAAATATTTTGGCCTCAAACTCAAATTTCCACAAAATACTTTTGTGGATCATTTCTAAATAAGAGGGAGATGATCCTTTCAAAATGGCCACCTATTTATTGCAGGTTCTGACCAAGCTCCCAATGGTTTCCACAGATGTTAGCAGCCATTTTGAAAGAAGACAGCTCCTCCTGGTAAGTGTAATAGAAAATTATCCCTTGGGTATTGCTAAAATTGTGAACAGTGATTCAATATAATACCATTAATCAATATTATATTCATATCCAATCTATGCATATGAATTCCATTTAATTTAAATACTAAAGAAAGTTTGAAGTATCTTTGTCAAGGTTATTTGAGATATAGAAACTATCTGCTGTTGGGTGCTAAA